GTGTAATTACAAGCTCTATGTGCAACAAATAACGACCCTATTGTTTATAGTTTTTAACTTTTTTTTTAAAGTGGATTTAATTATAAACGCTGTGTGCAATATTGATCTCATAGATGGTGGCAAACTGCTGAGCCAGCACAAATGTGAACCTAGTGCTAAATTTAATGGACTTGAGTTGCCGTAGTTTGTGGTCGATCGGTGTTCATGTTAATTAGATTAGCTGACGTAGAGGCACGTGTACTGCTCGATTATGTAACCAGAGTTCAGTGACGTAACAGATCAGCCGGGGGCCCGAGGATATTAAAAGATTCGAGTCTTCTATCCCATGTTGGTTGGGAGGGGGGTGTGAAGAGTCGACTAGTCCAGACAAGGCATTCAAAAAAAAATTATTTTCATAAAGAAAAGAACACGACACAAATTAGAATTTAAAAACACAACACTAAAAAAAAAACAGCATAGCCCTTGAAAAAGAAAAAATATTTCACTAATGTGAAGTAAAAAGGTGTAAGTGCAGCGATCACAACAGGGCAAATACATTTTATTTCTGTTCCAAACACGAATTTAATTGTGTTTTTGAAATATTGTATGCTATAGACTGACCTCGTATCTCACCACGTATTTATCTCACCTTTTCCTTGTATCTCGTCTCTTATTCCCACCATCACTTTATAGTATCTCTTGTATTTATCTTATCATTTCTTTGTATCTCACCTCGTATCTATCTTAACGTTACTTTGTATAACACACACTGATCTCACTTGATCATCCCTGTCTCTCCCTTTATTGCCCTAATGTAGTGTTAAAACAATATATCCCAATAAAAATATACTTAACGTCACACAATAAATTGTTTTACTAAGCTTCGTCAAGCCCTTTTCTTTATCCCTACATTAGTAGCATCCCCTTTTAGTGGGATATAGTCGGAGTCCCATGTGTTGCTAAAATTACACCTCATAAATCATGGACCGGATTGAAAGCCGTGTCTAGATAATGGGAGGCAATGATATTTATATCATTTAGAAATATTCGAGAAAGATGTTGCCAGCTTTATTTGTTACATTCAGTGGAGAACGTAGGGGCGGGTAAGTAAACGTTTTACATAGGGAAATAATGTGTCGTGCGACACATGGCGTTTATCGATAGCTTCCCTTTGTTTGGTTATCTACCTTTGTTTGACCTGCGTCAGTTGTTTAGACGAGATTCATTATTTAAAGTAGATCTAATCAAGCCGTAGACGTGGTTATACAGCAGATGCAGAGACACATGGGACGTAATCATAGTCACATCGTGGACGAAGGGAGACAATCGACGTAGTCAGACACACATTTGACGTAGTTACACCGTAGTCGTAGTTACACAGCTGACGTAGTCACATCGTAGATGTCACACATATTTATTGTTGTGATTTTTAAACTGGTGTAGTTCTATATCCAGTGTTTTTGTTTTTTATGGAGGTATTATTCGTTTTTGACACCCCACCCACACAGACGTGTGTATGTGTGAGTATGTGTGTGTATAAAGACAGATGGGTTTAAGGATAAGTCCAATACATATTTCAAAAGCGGATCAAGGGCATTTAGTTGATACGGGTTTATACAAATGCAGTGCTTCTTTCAAACTTTTTTTCTCATTGGGGGTCGGGGGGGGGGAGTGGACACTGATTAAATAATATATTTTTATATGAATATTTTTTTTTCTATTTCGTTGGGGGGGGGGGGGGGCGCACTGTCTCCGCCCCACGAAGAGACGCCTGAAATAACCTCTGTGCAAGTAGTAGCCCTAAGCTCCCTTGGTAATTTGGTCTCTGTTTCAAATTTCACTGCTTTCTTGTACGTCGGTGTAAAAAAAAAGGCACATGCAATATTGAAGCATCCGATAAGGACATTTGATGGTTGATATCTCAAGTCTAGCATTGCGTTCTCACACTTGGCTGGTTAATTAGCGCTGCCTAGCTGGGCAGCGTACACCATAGCGATGGCATTATGGCAACTACACGGTGGCTTGTTGGTTGTTGTTTTTTTTGTTTGTTTTTTTTTGTTGTTGTTTTGTCTATACGGTTAAAGTGCGAACCACATCATTCAAATTCAGCTGCGAATCCTAGTTAATTTTAATTTATGGAATATATTTTGTGTGCGTCGCATTCTTCACCTTAGACCCATGCGGGTACCTGATAACATCAGAGGGAGTCACTGTAGACGCTATCTCCAGGGTAACTGATGACGCGTGAACGGAAATTTCAATCCCCCCCCCCCCCCCACTCACCACACACACTCTCACGTGACTTTGGAGCTGAGTGGTCGAACATAAACACTGATATACAAATCTGGATTTGTTGGTATTTTTAGCTCAAGGGCTGTTTATCATTGGATACCAGGGAGATGCTGGGGCTTTGTGAAGATTAGAAATGAGATGATGTGTGTGTGTGTGGGGGGGGGGGAATAGGGTTGAGGGAATGGAGAGTGGGGTTGGGAGCATAGAAAATCAATGTTGCATGTGTAGAGTAATTACTTTGTTGAATATCACACATTTGTTTTCAAGTTTAACAGTTGATACTAAATTTTACCGTTGTAAGGGGCATTGTATCCACCAGAAGCTGATCTACATTTGAATGATAAAAAAATGGCCAGTTTGATGTAGGGGGCATTGTAGACTTCATAGCGGTCAGTTCAAGTGTTGTAAGACAACTTTTACTCGTGTGTTGTAAGGGCAGGTCAAGTAAGGGCATGTTTGGTTCCACAAAGAATATCGGTATGTTTTAATACAATAATATCGTCTTTAAAAAAACAAGTCAGTTTTCGTCATAGATATGTTTTTCTTCAGGGTGACATGTACGTATTGTGAGACACTCGGGAAAAGTGTGTCAAGTGTCGAGTCGAGTTGTTCAACATGCATGCGACGTAGTCACGGATAAAACTGCAACCATGTTCGGTTGATCACACCTGAATGAAACGCCTGACACGCTTGGTGAAGCCTTAGACCTTCATAAGCACGGGATTGGCTGCATGCAAACCTGTGATAGATACACAGTGTTTCGTTGCTTATGCCACCTCGTGATGTATACGTATCTATCAAGTGTGGCCGTTCTGCTTGGCTGAATCTCTACAGAAATTGTCGATCTTCAACTCAGACACATCGCCTCTATCCTCCTTGGCTTACATGCACTCGTTTCCCTGAATCAGTCTGTTTACACTCTTGGTCAGCAATCTACGTCTTCGAACTATACCTCCCTCACGCGACTCCTTAATCCTCTCCCATCTCCCTTCCCCCACATCACCCTTCCCCCACATCACCCTCTCCACACATATCTCCCCTCATGTTCTCCCCACCCCTACATCTCTCCACACACCTCAAACCTCTCCCACACCTCAACTTTCCCCACACATCTAAACCCTCTCTCCGCCAACGTTCCACCTTTAATCTCCCCCCCCCCCCCTTATATTTATTGATCTCGATGACGCGACGCAAGCAGCCATCCAGAACGTGACGGCCTGGTCCTGAGGAAACATCTGACCTACTTCACTGTATTGACCTGCTGGTCCGGCAGCAGGTAGTGCCGAGTTGTTGTCCCTGTTATGTTGTCACACGTTCTTGTGGGATTAACACGGTGGTGCCATCTTATTAGTGTCGTCATTCTGTTACCTGTAGGGTACCTTTAATCTGTGATTAGCAACCTGTAGTATTCTTATAATATGTGACTAGTCCCCCGCAGTATACCTTAAATCTGTGACTTGTTACTTGTAGGATTCCATTGTGATTATTCACCTGTTGGGTACATTTAAAATTTAATCTGTGACTTATTACTTGTAGGATACATTTGTCAATATTTGCACCTGTAAGGTACCTTTAATCTGTTAACCTTGTTGCCATACATTTGTGATTTTTCATCTGTACCTGGAGGATATCTTTAAGACTTGCCTTGTTTAGGATAATCTGTGATTATCACCTGTAGTATAACTGATTTGTTACTTGTAGAATATCTTTGTGATTTTTCACCTTTAATCTGTGACTTACCACCTGTAGTATACCTTTAATCTGTGACTTACCACCTGTAGGATACCTTTAATCTGTGAGTTCCCACCTGTAGGGTACCTTTAATCTGTGAGTTCCCACCTGTAGGGTACCTTTAATCTGTGAGTTCCCACCTGTAGGGTACCTTTAATCTGTGAGTTCCCACCTGTAGGGTACCTTTAATCTGTGAGTTCCCACTTGTAGGGTACCTTTAATCTGTGAGTTCCCACCTGTAGTATACCTTTCATCTATGACTTGCCACCTGTAGTATACCTTTAATCTGTGACTAGTCACCTGTAGTATACCTTTAATCTGTGACTGGCCACCTGTAGGGTACCTTTAATCTGTGACTTCCCACCTGTACCGTACCTTTAATCTGTGACTTCCCACCTGTACCGTACCTTTAATCTGTGACTTCCCACCTGTACGGTACCTTTAATCTGTGACTATTCACCTTTAGGATATCAACTCTGTGACCGCTTCTCAACCTTTAATTAATTAAATGAAGCGACAGGTCGCACGTTAGTTGACCCAACTAGTGGACCCATACGTTGCAACATCCGAGTTGAACTAGGATTGCCCTTTTGACCTTAAATTACCACCCTCTAATTATCGTACTAATCTAAATCGTGGACCCATGGTCGTACAAATCGACGAATTTACCAATACTATATGAAATTATGTTATGAATATGATTTTCAAATAGTCCGACAATGTGAATTATTATTTTGAAAAAAATTGCTATTTGCTAACAGTGTGGTTTTGTGAAAAAAAAAATTTCTTTTTACAAATGGAATTTGCTATCAGTCTGTTTGTGTAAAATTTTTATTAAGACAAATGGGGCTCGCCAATAGCCTGCTGATCAAGTTTAAAACCGGATTTAGGGTTGTTGATAATGTGTTCAGGTAAGTTGGTTTTGAAAATGTATCAAACAGTACAACAATTGTACGAAACTGTGTGTTTACGGAACAGTATGTGTATGTCTACTTCAAAAACTAAGGGGCGTAAGAATCTGTAAGTAGGCTATTCACAAAAACGTATCTATTTTGTGTACTTGAAATCATTGTACTGTTAATTACATGTCTTTTTTATAATTAGAGACGCTTTTATTTGTATCGGGCCCAGACATCATGTCCCACCTCAACACCTTTTGTTTCATACCAGTACACAGGATGATCTTAAAGTAATTTTAAATTGAACCCTGTTTTACTAGTACGAAGTATGGTCTTAAAGTAATTTAACCCTGTTTAACTAGTACGAAGTATGGTCTTAAAGTAATTTAACCATGTTTAACTAGTACGAAGTATGGTCTTAAAGTAATTTAACCATGTTTTACTAGTACGAAGTATGGTCTTAAAGTAATTTAACCATGTTTAACTAGTACGAAGTATGGTCTTAAAGTAATTTAACCATGTTTAACTAGTACGAAGTATGGTCTTAAAGTAATTTAACCATGTTTAACTAGTACGAAGTATGGTCTTAAAGTAATTGAACCATGTTTTACTAGTACGAAGTATGGTCTTAAAGTAATTTAACCATGTTTTACTAGTACGAAGTATGGTCTTAAAGTAATTTAACCATGTTTTACTAACAGGATGGTCTTACAGTAATTTAACCATGTTTTACTTCACCCACAAGAGCCAAAATGTAACTTAATTTAACCATATTTTATCTGCACCCAAATGAATATAATTTAATTACGTTTGTTGCGACCCACCGCACTATTTAAACGAGCTCTTTCAAATTTTTTTTAATAGTGCGGACATTATAATAATTCATCGGAAAGATGTTTTGTTCAGCTAAAACTGAAGCTCAAAATGTAATCGATTAAATGGACAAAATCGATTTTTTTTAACACCAAGGATATGTGCAACATATAGGCTTAAAAAACAAAATTACAATAGAAAAAAAAATATACATCAAAATGCAGTTTTTAAAAAGTTTATGGTTTAAGTAGTTAGGTTATAAATTATTCATCTAAAATATTATTGACCAGTGAACCAAGACGTTTGTTTAGCACCAAGGATATACGCTGCAATGAGGCCACAATTATACGTTTTAAAAAGCGCAAGATCAATTGTTAATTATCTCATTAATTTAAGTCAGCCATCGATTGGATCAGAGGTTACAATAAAATAAATTTGTTTGAATAAAACATCCCGTCTTCTCCGGTTGGTTGACCTCCACGTTGTTGACGTCACCAAGTCACGTGATCTACACCATTCGTTTAAAAAAGTATTTAGGGGCGCCGGGGTCTGGTGTAAGTGTAGGACGGTAGGGGTGAGGTGTAATCATGTGGGGCGTCTGTGTCACGTGTAATGTAGTTTTTGTTAGGCGTCAGGGTGCGATTTAGTGTGTGGAACGTCAGGGTGCGATGTAGAATATGTGGGGCGTCAGTGTGTAATGTAGTATGTGTGGGGTATCTGGTTATGATGTAGTGTGTGGGGGGCGCCAGGGTGTGATCATTTAAAACGTACACAAGGGTAGGGGTTTGACTGAATGACATAACGCAAACACAGGATACTAAGCTTAAAAGCAGGGTGTTAGTTTATCTAAATATTTTATTTATTCTTGGTGCGGAATCAAAGTTTCAACAGCAGCACTCATGTTTATTCTTGCTAGCTTTTTGTTTTACATTTTCTTAACGCTTCGTCGCTGGCTTTATGGTCTAATTTTGTAATTCAAGTTTCGGACATGTTTTCTCAAGATTTTAATTAACTTGATTCCATTGTCGTAATTTGTCTCACGTGTCTGGTTAGTCATTAATAGGGCTGGTAAGTAGGTCACCAACCAGCTCTACGGCTCAATAAAACCTGCATGAGCCATAGAACTGGTTGGTGACCTACTTACCAGCCCTATTACGAACGAAATTTCACGCACAACTACACAACCGATTTGTTTCAATATAAACACACAGGTCACAAGTCCGGTGGCTGTTCAGTGCGACATGAACTTATGAAAAATTTAGAATTAAAAAATAATTAACGCTTGCAATACAATGTACATTACTTTTACAGAAAAACTAGGAGTATTTACATTTTATTTTCTTATTTTCAATACATTCCAAATGCTTTTAATTACCTTAACATTTTTTTTACTTTTATATTTGCCGGCCATTATTTTAATGCGTTAAAAGAGCTAATCGGAAATTAATGTAAAAAGTAACAAGTTCATAACTGTGCCATATTATTTCTGTCCTGGTTGGGGGGTAGGGGTGCACACTTATTTTTGTAGACACCACACAAGAAAAAAAAACAACCCTAACTAGACGGAAATATTGTATTGCCGCAGACAGCTATTTTGCGATGATGACGTGATAACGACAATAACGACAAATGATCGTTTTGTTAGCTTTAGCATTCAGCGTTAACTTCCTTTTTTTTATTTTTTTTTTGGGATGGGTCTGTCAGTGTATGACAGGCGAGACACAGCAGGTAAGAGAGAAATGATGAATGCAGGATGTACGCGGGGCTGAAGTTGAATGTGTGTGTAGGGGGGGGGGGGGCATAAAATTAAAATGTTTAGCTCTTAAGTTATCAGGGGTTGGGGGGGGGGGGTCACTTGCTGTCACGTCAGTCACACGGGGGTCATTAACTGGTCATATTAACAGATGTCCTTACTACGCTAGGCTATTATAACCAATAGTTTAACTGTCAGTGTTTCTTTCAGACATTTTTCTCGGGGGGGGGGGGGGGGTGAGACGACGACTTAAATTTGGAGGGGGGCGGACACTAGTTAAAGTATATATAAGTACACATTTTGTGTTTAAATTATATATTTTTTACTACTTTGTGGAGTCGGTAGACGCGCTTTGGCAGTGCCCCTCCCCGAAGAGATACCCGAAAGAAAACCTGTTCACTACATCGGCCATGCTAACAAATACCGCCACCTGTATGGCACCAGTTACACATCGGGCATTCTACCAGCCACGCGTGAAACCTATAAATTCAAATAAAAAAACAATCATTGTATATCGATTACAATTTACAAATCAATTTTTCCCCCATTGTTCCCGTCTCCACGAGACGTGTATTTACATGAACCAATAGCAACACGTGTGTCACGTGGTGTAATAATAACCCCCACACCTTTCCGGTGATCTGTTACATAAAATTCCACAGCGGACGTGAGCTAGCAATGTATTTAGTGCTGGTAAACTAAAACAAAAAACCACAGCCTATTTCGTCAATCATTGTTTACACTAGCTGGGTATCGGTCGACTATTTGTGGAGGTAATTAAAAATACGTTGGCGCTACGTAGTGCTTTCAGAATGTGTGAGCGCCTTTCGACTATATCAGCTATTTGTGGTGCGGAGGCTTCAGCTGTATACGAGCTAAATGTGGGCTGTTTTTAGCTGTTTGGGGGGGGGGGGGGCACTTTAGCTATATGCTGTGGGGAAGGCTTCAGCTATATGCGGGCTGCTATCAGCTATTTGCCGTTGGGGGGGGGGGGGGGAGGGGAGCTTCAGATATATGCGGGGGGTGGGGCTTTCAGCTAAATGTGGGCTGCTTTCAGCTGTATGCGGTGGGGAGGGGGCTTCATCTATATGCGGTTGGCTTTCAGTAATATGCGTTCGGCTAACTTTCAACTATACTTGGGCGTATTTTAACATTCCGTGAACACTGCTAAGAATGCCAAAATAAAATAAAAGTTTTATTTCTCCCCGTGTTAGACTGAAACCCGATAACCTGTGGCAACAGATATCGCTAACAGCGGTGTCTCGTATTTAAATACGTCACCACAACACACATACAAGCCATACACGTTATACAAAGTGCATTTTATACCCCCCCCCCTCTTTCCCAGTACTTATTTCCCCCTTCATCTCCCCACCGCTCACCTTTCCACCGAATTGAATGAAACCTCTTTGTCCACATGCAGTAGCAAAGCAGTATCAGACACAGCTGTTGGAGAGATTAGTTTCGAGCCCATATCCCCCCACCCCTTTCACCAAACCCATAGATAAAACACCTTTTGTGTGGGGGTTTAAAATAATACAATGTAATATTGTGAGAACTGTCTATTCTGTTACGGGTGATCAGTTTACAATAAATTATTGATTTTTAAAAAAATTCCACATGAAGAAAGAGAAATCACACGTCTCAACCACAAAAGGTACCACTGTTTCTATACTGGTTTCATTTTTGGCAAAGCTCACATTAAAAGACTGTATTTCTAAATCACAGACGGCTCTCCGGGCATCAGCAGATTGAGCTGCTGAATCTGTTCTTAGCGTTATCCCATGTCGAGACTATAGCTCTGTACTAATACACTGAACAAGTAAAGCCCTAATGGCTATTATGGACTAGTAAAAGCTGCAGGCATACTTGCAGGCAAAGCTTGTAACCATACTTGCAATGAAGCCTGCAATACTTGCCTCTCATATGGGTAAGTTTAAAACCTGTAGCCTTATTTGCCCCATGATGGGCAAGTAAAGCCTCAGCCATACTTGCAGTAAAGCCTTAGCCATATTTGCAGCAAAGCCCCAGCCATACTTGCAGCAAAGCCCCAGTCATACTTGCAGTAAAGCCTCAACCATTCTCGCTTTTTATAGGCAAGTAAAGCCTCAGCCATACTTGCAGCAAAGCCTCAGTCATACTTGCAGTAAAGCCTCAACCATTCTCGCTTTTTATAGGCAAGTAAAGCCTCAGCCATACTTGCAGCAAAGCCTCAGTCATACTTGCAGTAAAGCCTCAACCATTCTCGCTTTTTATAGGCAAGTAAAGCCTCAGCCATACTTGCAGCAAAGCCTCAGTCATACTTGCAGTAAAGCCTCAACCATTCTCGCTTTTTATAGGCAAGTAAAGCCTCAGCCATACTTGCAGCAAAGCCTCAGTCATACTTGCAGTAAAGCCTCAACCATTCTCGCTTTTTATAGGCAAGTAAAGCCTCAGCCATACTTGCAGCAAAGCCTCAGTCATACTTGCAGTAAAGCCTCAACCATTCTCGCTTTTTATAGGCAAGTAAAGCCTCAGCCATACTTGCAGCAAAGCCTCAGTCATACTTGCAGTAAAGCCTCAACCATTCTCGCTTTTTATAGGCAAGTAAAGCCTCAGCCATACTTGCAGCAAAGCCTCAGTCATACTTGCAGTAAAGCCTCAACCATTCTCGCTTTTTATAGGCAAGTAAAGCCTCAGCCATACTTGCAGCAAAGCCTCAGTCATACTTGCAGTAAAGCCTCAACCATTCTCGCTTTTTATAGGCAAGTAAAGCCTCAGACATACTTGCAGCAAAGCCTCAGTCATACTTGCAGTAAAGCCTCAACCATTCTCGCTTTTTATAGGCAAGTAAAGCCTCAGCCATACTTGCAGCAAAGCCTCAGTCATACTTGCAGTAAAGCCTCAACCATTCTCGCTTTTTATAGGCAAGTAAAGCCTCAGCCATACTTGCAGCAAAGCCTCAGTCATACTTGCAGTAAAGCCTCAACCATTCTCGCTTTTTATAGGCAAGTAAAGCCTCAGCCATACTTGCAGCAAAGCCTCAGTCATACTTGCAGTAAAGCCTCAACCATTCTCGCTTTTTATAGGCAAGTAAAGCCTCAGCCATACTTGCAGCAAAGCCTCAGTCATACTTGCAGTAAAGCCTCAACCATTCTCGCTTTTTATAGGCAAGTAAAGCCTCAGCCATACTTGCAGCAAAGCCTCAGTCATACTTGCAGTAAAGCCTCAACCATTCTCGCTTTTTATAGGCAAGTAAAGCCTCAGCCATACTTGCAGCAAAGCCTCAGTCATACTTGCAGTAAAGCCTCAACCATTCTCGCTTTTTATAGGCAAGTAAAGCCTCAGACATACTTGCAGCAAAGCCTCAGTCATACTTGCAGTAAAGCCTCAACCATTCTCGCTTTTTATAGGCAAGTAAAGCCTCAGCCATACTTGCAGCAAAGCCTCAGTCATACTTGCAGTAAAGCCTCAACCATTCTCGCTTTTTATAGGCAAGTAAAGCCTCAGCCATACTTGCAGCAAAGCCTCAGTCATACTTGCAGTAAAGCCTCAACCATTCTCGCTTTTTATAGGCAAGTAAAGCCTCAGCCATACTTGCAGCAAAGCCTCAGTCATACTTGCAGTAAAGCCTCAACCATTCTCGCTTTTTATAGGCAAGTAAAGCCTCAGCCATATTTGCTTTTTATAGGCAGGTAAAGCCTCAGCCGTTCTTGCTTTTTATAGGCAAGTAAAGCCCCAGCCATACACGCCTCCCATACCTAGTGATTAGTTTAATCCCGAACCTCATTTGTAAGGTTTGAATAGACTTAAACACAGACGCATGCTACAATTTCGCCATATCATCGGTAATGAAAGCTAACATGAAACAAGACCTAGATCTAGATCTTGTAAGAAGTTTCATTATAATCTGCCCACGTTTGCAGATAGCGAAGTTTCCCCCAAGTGTTGATGCAGTGTGTACTTTGATGTTGTGATACACGTTTTCGATGCATTAATGTGCACATGTTTGACACACTCGTGCACTTAGACTCACTCAACTCACGTGGCAACGAAATCACTTAAGTGGGGAAAAATAATCTACTCCGCGAAGATGGCTACATGTTTTCTTACTCTTGTGTTTACCATCACCACTCGCCGTATCGGTGTTGGAAGCTATCATTGCACCTGATGCGGCCCTCACGTTTAAACACCGTAGGAAATGGCCATGTAGATGATAAACCAACCTGTCCCCACGGTCCTGTCCAAACCCCGCCCATCGGCTGGCTCTCACCTGCGGCAGGTAGATCGGCGAGCGGCGCCTCTCTCGTTGGACAGTCGAGGTCCGACCGTGCGTTCAGCCATGCGTGTAAGGAGTCTGGCAGCATGGATGCGGAGGTTCTTGTGAGTAGATGGTTTTCAGTTGTTATCGGGTTCGTTGATTTATACATGTTTTTATTAAAATTAAATTAAATAAAATTTGCCTGGATTTGACTTGGCCGTGGGGTATTTTTCTTGTATTTTGGTCTCTGCGATATTTTTTAAAATGCATACACTCACGCCTTAAGTCTCTTCTGCCATGTAAAGTTACCTTTCTATCCTAGCGGCTCACGGGGCAGGTGAAGTAGAGCTCACCTGTTTCTGTGACTTCGGCACTGTGCCCAGCAGCCGTTACTTTCCCCAACGTAAGTCAGATAGCCTACCCATCAATCGTATACCTCAACATTTTAGAGAAAGTCTGGAACGGAATTTTTTTTAGATCGTCTGGTTTTGGGGAGGCTAAACGTTCGGCCAGAGTTTAATTCTGTTGGGAAATTTAACCGTCGATTTTTATTCAGATGATATAGATTATATCTTTTGGTCAAATTTTGTTTGGAGATAATTTGATAGTACAACACACATCAACTTCGTTTTATAGTACAACACATTAGCAACTTAGTTTCGATAGCACAACACACTAGCAACTTAATTTCGATAGCACAACACAGTAGCAACTTAGCTTGATAATACAACACACTAGCAAATTAGTTTCGATAGGACAACACACTAGCCACATACTTTGATAGTACAACACACTAGCAAATTAGTTTGATAGTACAACACACTAGCAAATTAGTTTGATAGTACAACACACTAACAACTTAGTTTGATAGCACAACACACTAACAACTTAGTTTGATAGTACAACACACTAGCAACTTAGTTTGATAGTACAACACACTAGCAACATAGTTTGGTAACACAACACACTCGCAACATAGTTTTATAGCACAACACACTAGCAACATAGTTTGATAATACAACACACTAGCAACATAGTTTGATGGTTTTTGGAAATAGTTTGATAGCACAACACACTAGCAACTTAATTTGATAGCACAACACACTAGCAACTTAGTTTGATAGTACAACACACTAACATCTTAGTTTGATAGCACAACACATCAGCAACTTAGTTTGATAGTGCAACACACTAGCAACTTAGTTTCGATAGTACAACACACTAGCAACTTAGTTTGATGGTACAACACACTAACATCTTAGTTTGATAGCACAACACATCAGCAACTTAGTTTGATAGTGCAACACACTAGCAACTTAGTTTCGATAGTACAACACACTAGCAACTTAGTTTGATGGTACAACATAGTTTGATAGTGCAACACACTAGCAAAGACACAACCACTTGAGTGGGTCCTTACTTTAAAAACAAAAATTCTTAATAATCTGATGTACACAAAACACTTATGCTAGCCTTCAACAGTCGCTACACACACTAGACCCACTATTGCTGGTGTTCTGTAAACACTGCACACTCTGTCATTGTATCCCTGTGTATAAGATGGCCTTGCTAACCACGTTGGGCTTAAATGGGAAATGGCCACTTTATTGTTTCTAGCTTTATGAAGTAACGGTTACCATACCGTAACTGGCTTAAAGTAAAAAACAGTTATTTCTTTACAGCTTTATTAAGATACATCCGCATATGCATTTCCACTAAAACATATGTCTCCGGCGCCGACCCTAGGGGCGCCAAAATAAGCTCATTTTAGTTTTAGTTGCTATTTTTAATTATAAATATAAAAACAATATAGAGGGGGCAAATTGAAAGTTTGTCCCCGGGCGCCGGGAGGGGTCGCTACGCCTCTGCGCCACACTATAGCAGGCCAACCGCTGTTGGCCACCCAATACATCGTGAAAGTTAAAACTGGCCTCAGCTCACCACAGCTGCCTGCCGCCCTTTGACTTAAGCGCTGGAATGTCTTCCCCTCCAGGCTACACGTCGTATTTCGTGCGGCTTGTTTTTGATCTTTGATGCCTCCACCAGATAAAGAAAAGGCAAGAAACAATTTAGAATAAATTATTCATCAATCCGAGCGAGCATGCACTCATTACACGAAAGCCAAGAGTAATCTCCCATCGACATGGTAGGCAGAGCGTTGTAGTGGTGTTTTGCTGTCAACAAGAAAAGAAAAAAAAAATTCCGTGCAAACATATCCTGCAGCTGTAGCGGCCGTTCGACCTTTACGTTTGTACAGTTTATAAAGAAGCCACCTCTAGTTTGAGAGAGAGCGTGGGGGGGGGGGGGGGTCTCTGAAATGTCAGATCAGTGGTCCTAAAACTGTTTTTTGCAGGGTCATAGGAATTTGTTCGATAAAGATAAACTTCTAACAGATGATAATCTTCAACCTGGTTTTTTTCATATAAGTCTCTCTCTCTATATATATATATGTGGGGGGTTCACTCTGTGTGTGTGGTGGGGGGGGGGGGCATGCATGTGCAACGGAATTATGCTCCAGCCAGTGTCCGTAATGAAGAAAAATTTGGGACTTTGGCCTGTCATTGGGAGGTGATATTGACCAATGTTGACATTGGCTGACTTCGGGCTTTGGCCGAAACAGACACAAACAGACACAATTTGTATTATTTCATTTACCCATTGATGACACCCGATAAGATGTAATGTTTATGTTTTGTTTGACCATATCCGTGAAACATCTCTAGAAAAAAAGTTTACAAATTTTTTTCTCTCTCCCCCAGGATGATGTCCGCGGCTACCACAGCCCTGCCCAAAATCACATGGGTCAAGGTCGTCCTGGTAGTAGCCTTTATCGTGGTCAACGTCGCGCTGTACAGCCACTTCTCTGACCACGGGATCCTGCCCATCTTCTCGCCGGACTCCAACACCTCAACTCACAGGGGCGACCTGAGCTTTGAACCCACCAGGTCAAAGTTCAACCTGACCAGGTCTAACCTAACGCAGAAATGGCAGGCGTTGAACATAACTGTTATTGACAGGTCGCAACCTTACAGCACTAGCGAGCTCAAGAAACATCCATTTTTATCAGAAAGCGTTGTCAACCCACATAACTATAAATACGTCATCACTCCACGAGTTTCATGTAAGGATCGATCAACCATAGAAGTAATTATCTGTGTTCCAATTAGTCATAATAACTTCAAAGGCCGAGAGACGGTTCGAGCGACATGGGGCAGCTATGCCAATGTCAGCTCGCATAATTCTATTCTAGTCTTTTTTATCGGACTGCCGGACATGAATTCAGCTGAGGCAGCTCAAACCCAGAAACTAATTCTGGAAGAGGCTGCGGTGTATGGTGATATATTGCAAGAGGATTTTGTGGACTCGTACAACAACCTCAGCCTCAAGTCAGTGTCTATTCTAAAGTACGTTACGTTTTATTGTTCAAAGGCGAGTTACGTCCTCAAAGCAGATGACGACATGTATGTTAATGTCCCTTTTTTAGTGACTACGTTAAGGAAACATAAAGATTCAAACCCAGAGTTAAGTGCCTTTGTTATGGGGTCAAAGCAGGTCAATGCGCATCCAGCAAGGTCATCTGACTCCAAATGGTACACACCTGTGTCCATGTTCTCCGAGGATACTTATCCGGATTACGTATCCGGGACAGCATACGTCATGTCCGCTGAGGCGTCATGGCTGCTTTATGAAGGATCCCTTAGGGTGCCTTTGTTCTGGTTGGAAGACATTTACATCACTGGGATTTGTTCCAAGAAAGCCGGCGTCGTGGTGATAGGCAATGATTTATTCTCTTACGGGAAACCTTCTGTGTCTGGGTGCTCGTTCAGACAGCACATATCTGGACACAGATACAGTCTGTCAGAGATTGAACAGATACACAGAGAGCTGTACGATAGTAAGACAGTGTGTGAGTAGAGTGTAGGATAATGATTGTTCTGTAAAGAGAAGTGATGTGACTATTTACAAGGAGGGATACCATGGCGATTCTCTACAGGCAAGGGACACCAGGACTTCTATACAAAGAATAGATAACGTGGGGATCATATATCTACTTAGTAGACCTATATGTACTTTGCTGCAGTGTGTTACTGTATGTCTTATAGAAATGTGTCTTATAAAACTGGACTCCACCCCCTCCCCCTGTCAAGCAGCTATCCTCATGCTCATCCGTCCATTACCCTCGACTGACCCATGTCAGGGAATCTAGAAATATTACATCACATTGCACTGTATAATCACAGAGTGACCCATCTTTCATCTGTGTTAAGCTACATCCCTGCCATATGGATTTAGATTCAGTACCACTTGTAAGAATGCATCTCTTTAAAACTACCACATAATGAAAAGTAGTTATACTTTTATTTAACCACAAGAAAAAATTAGATGAAACTTGTTAGAATGTATCTTTTTAAAACTACCACAATAATAAGAACTAGTTATATTTATTTGGCCACTCAAGAAAAAACTAAATGGGGTACCCGCAGATCTAGAGACCACAGTCTAGTTCATTCACAAAGCTGGACTTGTTGTTTAAATCCTCCAGCATAAACTCAGTTAAGAATGAAGAAGAAGAAAGAATTTAACCACAAGAGATTAGGTTATGCCATCTAATCACTACAAGTAATAAAAGTTTGTACCAGCACCTAACACATTTCAGTAGCAAAACAATCAATTCCACTGTATTATTATACAGAAATTAGCAGCAGTTTAAGATACACAAAACAAATAAATGGTAAAATAAAAATATGTATCACAATTATGATTAATTAAAAAACATCGCAGAATGTATTGGCAGTAGGGAACCCTTTTTATGTAACAGTGGACAAGTAATCTTTTGCATGTCTCCCCCTTCCCCACCCTGTTGACATAATGGTGTGAATTAATTTTTGGTGTGTCTCTAATCTTACTTTGAGTGTGTCACCGCACTCTCTGAGTGTTGCTGAACACATCACCATGCAGTTTGAAGACACAAGCAGCCACAGGCCTAAAGAACAACAATCCAATCTGTTGCCCTGTCATTGCTAGAATCAAATTTTCTTCTCCTTTACAGTTATAGCTGAGCTAGATAAACCAATTCCTACCTTAGATAAATCAATTCCTACTAGCCACATACCATTCAAAACCTTCATTTATTCCAGCTAACACTGCTCCCTGTAATTAAATGTGTTTATGTTTCTGCAAGCAATAAAATATCGGTAATTATCCAAATGTAAATCCTTATGCCCATCTCCTTATGCATTTATGTTATGTTTCATTGTATTAATTATCATACTGCGTTGTGATTAGTATGTGAGTAGTATGCTAATGCATCAAGTTTTAATAGTAATTTATTTTTTTAAACTCATTACCACAATATTGTACAAGCCTAGATGTGAAATTTTAATTTTTTTTTTTGCAACAATCAGAGTTTCTTCCAGGCATCTCTTCGGGGGGGCTTAGCCCCCCCGAAAAATTTTTACCGCCCCCCCGAACGAAATGAAATTTATATAATTTATATAGAAAATATATACTTTTAACAGTGTCCGCCCCCCCGAAGAAAGTTTACCGCCCCCCCGAAGATTTCAAGTGCCCCCCCCGGAGAAAAAAGTCTGGAAGAAACACTGGCAACAATGCTCATAAGCAAGCTTTTTTTTTTTAGTATTTATAATATATAATTTGTACATCTGCAAGAAATATTGGATTGGATAAAAATAAAAAAAAAACAATTCGGTAACAAAGAATTCATACTAAAATTTATAAATTCAACTGTGATACATCTATCTAATCCAATTTACTTGTACAGCTACTGTGTTGATCTGTACAACAAATCCATCTGTGTACATATGTGTACTGACATTAGGGGCATCAACTATGCCACACATATTCTGACATATATTGTCTATAGACTGCACAAAACTATTCCTGTGTTGGATGTAGAAGATTTAGTGTTGGATTTGAAATCTTCTTTTTTGATATCTTGGAAATTCTTGGAGTCTCTGCATTTAATAAAATGAGTTGACAAATATAATTTAACATGAATTATATTGTTTGTGTTCGTCATTATGAGATTAAGTCCTAAATTTGCTTTTACATTATCATTATCAGCATGATTATATTTTTATGGCTATTTAAATTGAACAAATGTATACAATATTTTTTGAACAAATTGATACAATATTAATTTTTTGAGAAAAATATCTATCTGTATATTTTGCTAAGAAAAATTAGTTATAATTTCATCTAAATTATAAAAAGTTGTATGTTGATTTGTTTCATTTATAAATATTTTTACTGTTCTATTTTTACACAATGTTGTATCATGTGACAGACATATTTTGGTGTGATGATAAACATTTTCACTGCATGAGCCAGTCATTAATATGTCAGTTATGGTCAGAGTTATGGTTAACATTATAATATTTTTGTTAGCTGAATGTTGCTGTATTTAATGTATATATTTCTATACATTTTGTCTAGTGTACATCATCTAATTGTGGGGCCAAAAGAAACAACAAAACACAATAGTTAAGAAAACTTTGTATTTGTTTAATTTATTTGCCTTAAACTTTTTACCAAAGATGTTTTAACTCGCTTATGCTACATTCATTCACTCAGCTAGTCTAAAGACCAATCCATCTCTAATGCTTTTTCTACTTATTGACAAATGCTTAATCCTTTTTTTAAAGACCACTTCCGTATAAAGGGAGATACATGGGGGAGATCAATATAAATATAAAATGGGTGATAAATATTATAGGGAGTTCACAACACAAAGGAGAGATTACTTTACTTGAGTATTTAAGGGGGAATAAATATCAATTTATCATATTTGGGGAGATTTATAAGTGGCGATAAATATCAAAAGCAGATATTGCATACGAGGGGAGATAAATCACTTGAAGGAGAGAGTATTTGTGTTGATGTGTCACAGTAACCTTTAGCTCTTAGTTCCCCCTGGGTGGAATAAAGGGGAGATCACCATACATAGTGAGATGAACGTCTATCAACAGATCATTGTTTATAGTCTATTACGGAGGGTGAGGGATTAAAAATCATTCAGTACTAGTGGAGATAAACATGTTTTCAAAACTGTGACACTCAAGGTCATTGAACCTTACACTTTGGGTCCAGATGTAAACACATTGTGTGTTCTGTGAAAGTGGTTTTGTGTGTTCTGTGAACGTGGTATTGTGTGCTCTGTAAAAGTGGTTTTGTGTGTTCTGTAAAAGTGTTAAGGTTGGGTTAAGCAAAAACCATTTATTGAGGAGTTAAAGAAATCACTAATATCCAGATATCTTTAAACATGAAATCCTTCTGTAAATACTCTGTAAGACTGATTTACTGTTTTATTGCTATCTAAATTGTCTACATAATATAATTGATATGAGTCACTAGGGTTTTTTCTTGATACATGTAGTAGAGGTTATAATTTAATGAGTTTTTATAGTGCTAGTGTTCTGGCAGCTTGCAATATTGTAGATACAGCATAGTCATAGACTTCCTGATTGGGAAACAGTAACAATAGTTACATAGTATTACAGCTTACACACTGCCACAAGTTAGAGACAGCAGAACAACTTAGACGATGTTACATCTTAGTACCGTTACTTAGATAGCACCATAACTTATACATTAACACAACTGACAGCACCATAACTGACAATATTACAACTTAGCACCACAACTTTGACAATACTACAACTTAGCACCATAACGTTGACAATATTACAACTTAGCACCTCAACTTTGACAATATTACAACTTAGTACTGTAACTTAGATAGCACCATAACTTATAGCCTACATTAACACAACTGATAGCACCATAACTTTGACAATATTACAACTTAACACCCTAACGTTGACAATATTACAACTTAGCACCTCAACTTTGACAAAATTACAACTTAGTACTATAACTTAGATAGCACCATAACTTATATATCAAGACAACTGACAGCACCATAACTTTGACAATATTACAACTTAACACCATAACGTTGACAATATTACATCTTAACACCTCAACTTTGACAATATTACAACTTAGCACCACAACTGTTTAAATATTACAACTTAGCACCTCAACTTTCACAGTACTACAGCTTAGCACCTCAACTTTGACAATATTACAGCTTAGCACCTCAACTTTGACAATATTACAACTTAGCACCTTAACTTTGACAATACCACCATGAATACATTAACACGACTTCAAGTGTCCCACAACCTAAACAATACCACAACTTCGACAGTACCACAACATAAACAATACCACAACTTCGACAGTACCACAACCTAAACAATACCACAACTTCGACAGTACCACAACCTAAACAATACCACAACTTCGACAGTACCACAACCTAAACAATACCACAACTTCGACAGTACCACAACCTAAACAATACCACAACTTCGACAGTACCACAACCTAAACAATACCACAACTTCGACAGTACCACAACCTAAACAATACCACAACTTCGACAGTACCACAACATAAACAATACCACAACTTCGACAGTACCACAACCTAAACAATACCACAACCCAGACTTTAGGACAACAAAAACCATGACACCCCTAACACAACAACAGTGACAGTTCACAGACCATCACAACAAGCCTCTAAATCCAAAATCAAAGTAGGACTACTGTCAAAACTTTTGTCGTTTATGTTCCTCACTTCCACAATTAAAGTTCACCATAACTTTTCTCATTTGAAAAAAAATAAATCCACACCACCTATATGCATCTATTGACGTTCAGGAAATGTAGCTAAATGTGCATATAACACCATACCACTAAACGTGTATTGTAAATTATATACTAGGCCTTACTTTGTATTGTAAAAGCTTTGCCTTCTCTAATTATTTGCCCACAGCCTCTTATCTGGTAATTAGTTTCCGTTTAATCTACTTTAAAAAATAAATATCAACGAGTTGAGTGTTTCAGTACTGAGATCAATGTGAAACAATCCAAGGATTGATCTTCCAGACCTTAGGAATTCTATGTGACATCATACACGTTCATCCATGTACACCCCACTTCCCCATATCGTCACTCACCATTAATCAAAAGCCAAAATTCCCCACATTTTCCATACACCGAGTGAGCTAGCTCCACTGCCACTTTCGTCCTAGTAAAAATAAACATTTAATCAAAGTTAACATGTTTTCCCCCCTGTAATTTCTTTTTGAAAAGTACAAGTTGTCTCAATTCTTCCACCCTCCACCCTTCCCACCACTTAAAATATGATCACTAAACTTTCCTTCTATTCACCAATACATGTCCTTATTTCAGTAAATTATACTATCCTCTAGCTCAAAATTTCAAATTATATTTTTGTACTTATCGATTATATCAAATCTTACTGCCAACGTGTTTTGTAGTGTATGCAATGTTTGTGTGTAGAAACTAATGTCATTGGATTTGCTTGAGTAATAATATACGGAGAAATATTTTTTCATTTTTATTTCCAGATAGAAAAGGGAAAGACAAATCCCTAGGATGTCAGCCAAAAAATATAATCTTTTTTTTTTCTTATTTATTTTGATTGCCTAATCATGAATAAATGGGTGAGGGGGTCCCGTTATCATAGATGTAGATGTTTACCTCCACTCACCCCCGCTCCCCTCATCGCCAGCGGTCACCAAACCCTCTCCTCCCCCCCCCCCCCCCCCCACCTCCTGAATCCGTAATTATTTAAATTTCAAATTAACTTCTAAAAATTTCCAAACACCGCTAAAAATAACGGAAATTAACATTTAAAAAATCAAATTATTCTTTCGAGACGTCATTCATTTATAACAACACTTTCCTCCTTCCCACCCCACCTTGTGTAAGACTTGTGCATGTTATTATGTTAATCATTAAAAAAAAAAATCCTTTCTAAAATGGAATAGCATGTCAAACTTTCACTGTATTAAAAAAAAACTACCAATAATTTAATGAAAAGTTTCAACTCATTTGGCTCAGGATACATTTAAAAAAAAAAAAAGTATTCTGGCTTGATGTACAAATGTGATGTTCATATGTTGATTATATAATGTTGAATATATTTGTTTTCTTATGATGATATTGTAATGATATTTAATGGATATATAAATACTTGCCTTGAATTAAAAAAAATATATTGATAAGCGGGTTCAAGTTCATTTATTTTTCACGCAATAAAATTACAAACACGTTATGCTGGGAGAATTGTTCATATTAAATTTAATAACTCAAATACGTTGTTTATTCATGGGGGGGGGGGGGGGGGGGGGGGAAGAAAGAGTGGTTCTCCCCCGACACGACCATGCCCATAGGGTAATGCCTAACTATGAATTAAAGTGTAAAAAAATTTTGATTCCCAATCCAAGGTTTGTTTTCTCTATAAAATACGTTGGTTTTTGTTTGTTTTAGTATCATCCCATCTATTGGTGCTGACCGACATCTCCCCCTTGTGATGCCTCTGTATATGATGGAGAAAAAACAGCATTTGAGTCACATTTCTTTCTATTGATTCATGATAAAGTAACTTAAATACGTGTGCCGTAGATTCATGATGCGGTGGCACGGACCTCTACGCGTAATTTAAATTCTGCTTTGTGGCGCCACAAGGAAGGAGGCTGGGGCCCAGACCGTTGGCGGGGGTGCGGACCACACCGGGTGACTCCCAGCCTGCTGGCAAACAATTCATCTCCCAACGTAACTTAAATTCTGTTATGGCATTTCATATTTAAGTAATGTTATAACGTACTAGGTTTTGTTCAGTACTATTGTGTTTAACTTTATGCCATGTCCTCGGGATAGAGGGGGGGGGGGGGCAAATGCTAGTCGATCAATTTGAGGTTAACTAATTTTTTTTTTAGTCTTGTTAAGATATGTGAGATAGTGCTGAGCCCTGACAGACAGAAATCAATTTAGAGCAGTGTTTTTTAGACCTGGGTCGATCGAACCCCAGGGGTTCGTTGAGTTAGTCACAGGGGTTTAGCGGAAGTCAAGACACACGGCATTCAAGATAGGATTTTGTCAGTAAGGAAGACAGAGCTGTTGAGAAGGGTTCAGTAAATGCGCATATGAAACAGGTGGGGGTGCGGTACCCCCTGAAAGGTTAAGAACCACTGATTTAGAGGTTAATCAAACAACACAAGGTATGTCAGGTTAATCAAAAGGTAAAAGTGATTTCAGGTTAATCAAAAGGTAAAAGTGATGTTAATCAAAAGGTAAAAGTGATGTTAATCAAAAGGTAAAAGTGATGTTAATCAAAAGGTAAAAGTGATGTTAATCAAAAGGTAAAATTCATGTGTGCACACACTAAACCTAAATTACACATTCGCATGGCTCGCGTATTTCGTGGGCTGAATTTCTTATGACGTCACAGGACTACTTACTGATCGAGGCATGACGTCAATGAAGCCTACAAGCAGGTTGGTGAAAGTAGTGTCTAGTAAGCAAAAGGCGTAGGGAGGGGGGTGCGGATCGCACCGGGTGACACCATTTAGGGGGGGGGGACACCAAGGCAAAATGTATAGAGAAAAACTTGAGGGGGGGGGTGCAAATAAAAAAATTTGAAAGTTTGTCCCCGGGAAGAGTCGCTACGTTTCTGGGGGGGGGGGGGGGGGGTGGCACCATTAAGTGCCGCACCGGGTGACATCCGACCTCGCTACGCCACTGCCGGTAAGTAAATTCACATTTAGAACCTGATGGTCCATGGCCATGTAGAATTCATATTTTTTGTGAACTCGGAATATGAAGGTATAGTGTGGTCAACACTACGCCAGTATTTTATTCTTCCTATCTTGTGTCAGGTACCCATCATAACTGGGTGGACTCAGAGACGTTGTATTGACATGAAACTGGATTCGAACTCCAAACCTCCCCTACGCACTGAGTGTAGCGTCATTTATAAAGACGTTATTAAACCCTGATTGAAATAAGGGGAAAATACAACGCAATACATTAATCAAGAACGCGAACTGTTTTGTATTGATGATTTGTATGAAACCTGTTTACAATTTTAGTATGTAATGTCAATAAAATAATGCTCCAACAGCGGTATTTTGTGATTATGTTCTGTTATATACGTGCAAAAACACATTGATACGGTTTTATTACATCCTTCGATTGTGGATTGGGTTAGATGGAGCAGCGTTATTGATCATAGGCTAACTGAACATTTTGTTTTTAGTGTGTGGCTAAAAGGATCTTATCATCTGTTACACGAAGGCTTACAGTATTACATCACGCTGTGAGAACTGGGCACTCAACTGAGTGAGGGTTTACTGCCACCCTACACGAGCAGGGCACACACTTTGATGTGTATTAACCGTTAACCTAATCCGTTAATCTCACGCTGTTGGAGCTGGGCTTATGTTTGGGAGAGGGTTTACCGTATCACAATGCCACCCCACCTGAACAGTGTACACAATCAGTGTTTCTTTCAGACTTTTTTTTCTCCGGGGGCGGGGTTGAAGACTAAATCATCCGGTGTAGTGAATTTTCCGGGGTGGGGAGGGGGGGGGGGAGAGGGTTGGAATGGGGAGGGGGGGGGTAGACGTGCTTGAAAGAAACAGGGCACACAGTTTAATGCGGATTAGACGTTACTTCTGTGTAAACAGAAAACAAACATACAGGAAGCCATTGTTTTAAGACGACAATAAAATTTTATTGACATAAGGGCTTCAGACAAAGCGATCCCTGTAGTATTGTTTGGACCCTTTGATGGGTACGCCTTTTTGCTGAGTCTGTTGTGTTTCGTCGCCGACAACTAATTTGACGTTTTAAAATTTACATTTTAATGTCCCCATGTCCAAAGACTATTTCATTTGTTCTTATACAGAACACCTAGCCTAGCCCTTACTCGTATATCATACATACAGGCCTACATTCTATCCATTTAGAGATATGTTTCATAGCCCTAGCTCTTGCCCAAACGCATGATCTTTAGTTTTAAGATAATACGTAGTATTTAAAATTTCCGGGGTGGGTTGGACACTGGTTAAAGTAGATATATTCTATGTCAAGTACACATACACACACACACACACACATATATATATATATATATATATATATATATATATATATATATATATATATATATATATATATATATATATATATATATATATATATGTAACTAGGTGTAGTTACCAGAGACGATAACAACGCAATAGTGCAGGTGTTAGGCTGATAACGATCACAAAGCCGCTGCGCAGTTCACAGGCTGACGCAACAGTGCAGATGGCTTATTAATCGGACTGTATGACAGAAGCGGCGTAATTAACATTCTGATGCAACGATTAGAATCGATTACGATTACGATTACGATTACGAATCCGATTACGAATACAAGGGATATATAGGAAGGCGACAGTTGAGAAGGGGAGGCCGAACTGTAGAGTAGGGGATCAGTCAGTCAGTAAGAGGAGTATCAGAGACAGTGACAGGATCAGTATCAAGTTGGTTATGGAACGGGTTGGCCGTATTGTGTTAATAAGGACGATAGACATGTGCATTCAGTTATGTGAAGACTAGTGAGGACTGTTGGGGGTCAGTTGATTCCGACTATTATTGTGAAGCATTTCTTTTGATTCATTATATTATTGTGAAACATTTCTTTGATTCATGTAATAAAAGGATCAATAGTGAACCTGCATCTTCGAGTATCTATACTGTGGTCGATGTTGTGTAGAATGAGTGGTTAGACTCGTTAACATTTGGCACTACAGGCAAATAGACTCGTTACATTTGGCGTTGTCGAGCAGAAGATGCAACTACGCTCGGTCACATTTGGCGCTGCGAGCAGGGTGATTCAATTAGACCAGCCGCTTTAGGCACCCATAGTCAACCTAGTTCATAACTGTGTTTATTGTGTGTGTGAATTCGGACATTCAGGAACAGTGAAAATTGAGGAACGAGGAAAATTTTTCATACACACACGGTAAGAAAGGTCTTTTTTTTATTTGAAGGAAATAAATAAAAGGGAAAACTGAAATCAGAATCGAGGAAATTGAAAAGAACAGAGATGAGACACCTTTCATTATCATTCTGGCTTGGTGTCACATGCTCTTTTGCGGCTGCAAGCATGTGGCTCAGTATACCTCTAGTTGTAGCACCAACTACCCTGGGGACAGCTATGGGGCTGACCACCAGCATCCAGATAATTGGCATTGGTATCTCCAACTTGGTTGTGGGACAAATACTAGGCAAAGATGACAACCAAGATATAGATGTAACTCTTAGACACTGGAAATGTGTCATGATCTCCCTGTTGGGCAACACTATCTGCTGCATAGCTGCAACATTTTTCCTTAATGGGAATGACAGACGCAGGAGTGGTATTTTAAATATCAGAAAAGAACAAAAACTCCTGCTGGCCCAACAATCTGAGTCAGATAAAGATAGCCCAGAGATAGGCAACGGTGAAGATGACCCTTTGCCTCCAGATGGACCAGGACAAAATTTGGACAAAAAGCCGATCCATATTGTGGTCCTGCCCAGTGAGTCCCACATCAACAAATTTTACGGGGACGGTGATCCAACCTTAACCAACAGGTTCAGTGAAGAGGTCAAAGCGGCCTGGGCCTCGAGATACATGTCACCAGAGGAAAGATTAAGACTGCTGATGGGCAGTATAGGAGAGACGGTTAGGGCAGAGGTCAAATGCCACGATAAAACCATCCAATCAGATCCAG